CCAGGAGCCCAAAATTAAACTTCTCCTCCTCTCAGTTGTTCTTGTCCAGTATTTTGGTCACAGCAATGAAAAGCTGACTAACGCAAATACATTCCCATGTGAATTSAGACCTAGATGCAACTCCATCAGAAATTAGATGCTATGGCCAGAGATTCCCTGGAAGAGAGAAAGTTTAAACTCAGCCCTGGACAGGTCTCTGCCTTATMGGAGTCCATGTGCTATTCTGAGAGAGGCACCTTAGTGGAGGAACTTCTTTCTCCATTCTTATCCATCTTGGTCCACTCCAGCACCAACTCCAGCTTAAAAATCTTCCAGAGATCCCCCTGATGAGTTCCATCCTGCTGAAATCCCAGGCARGTGACAGCATGCCCCACCTCTCCGTTTCCCAGCCTTGGGGTGTGTGGGAAAGATCAGCCTCACCCCTCAGGAGTGGGAAGTTACTCCCTCCCTACTTCCCTAGGAGCCTTCATGGAGGTGGAGGAACTTAAGGCACAAAGAAACCATAACAACATGAGGTGCCAGTCAGTTTAGAAGGAAGCCGAGTCCTGAAAATGTCTCTGACAAGGAGGTAGAGAGGGATGTTGAGAGGCTGGAAGGGGCAGGTAAAGGTGGGCTCTCCTTTTGGTAGCCAAGAAGGTCCTTAAGTGCATGACCAGGAGACAGCAGAGGAGAAACCCAAAACAAAACAACAGAGGGCCTGAGAAAAACACTCCTGACAGCTTCTGCACCAGTTTTTAGCATTTACAGTTTGTCCTATTGTGATACCTTCAAAAAGAAAATGAAGGAAAGAGCCCAAGAAATGTCCTCAGGGAATATCAGGGCTACCCACTTCTTCCCAGCCATGCTTCTAGGAAAAGCAAGATCCACAGAAAGTATCATGAGGAAAGAAAGTCTGCACTCCATGGCATCCCCATAGCATGGAAAAGTAGAAGAGAGAAGGGCTCCTTCCCTGACCTGGTGGCCAGGAACCACCTTCTTGGGAAATCTCAGGAGGCTCCACATTACTGCTCAGGCTGGTGGGGTGCTGAATCCTTGGGGAGAAAAGCATATACTCTCCACACAAAGAAATGCCCTGTTCATTCAATAACAGGCCCTTGGAGCTTCCTGAGCAATTACTGCCTCCCCATTCAGCTTCATGCCTRGGCAGTCACTAATAATTTATTGCAACTAAGTCTCATAGCTCCAGTAAGACAGCTTCTCTACTTCTGAATTCCCCACAGAGCTTACTGAACACAGCTGGGAACCTAGTCTGTCCTCATTAATACTTCTCTGGACCTGAATCTTCCCGTCCTTCCTTGCTACCAATTCCACCCCTACATTCCAGCAACTGGCCCACAGGAACAGAGCCAACCCAGGCCATTCCCTTCTCTTCACTTCCTAGGAGCTGGTCTAGCAGATGCTAACAAAGGGAAATGAGAGCTTCAGGGTTTAGAGATCTGATTGGCAACTTGGCAAAATCCACTGGGAACTTCTATAAGCAAAGGATCACTACTAGCAAATGCTAATTAGGGTACTCTTTCCAGTTCTCCTATGGAAGACAGTCATTTATAAGGTTTAAGTCAGGTGTTGAATCTCCAAGAGAAGTGTGAGTTTCCAAGAATGTTTCCTGAGGAAGGTCTCTGGAAGGAGCCTTTTAAATTCTTGAGATTCACCTAACCTATACAAGGTAGTCATGGCGATAAATTATGGTAGGCAGGTGGCTGGGCCAGGTGATCTGATCAAACACCTTCCAGTTCCACACTTCATTGAATTTTGAATGATCTAACTCATCCATGTGCAAGACAGTGACATGGTTTTGGAGCAAGAAGACCCACAGTTCACATCCTAGCTCTGATTCTTCCTAGGTGGGTGATCTTGGGGCTTGTGGGGGTGCGTCACTTAATCTCTGAACAAATTTTTCTTGATTGTAAAATGGGGACAATAATAATAATATCTTCACATAAATATTAGGAGATCTCACACATGAATAGGTTATAAAAACTACAAAGTATTATTCAAATGATCCAGATTATTGAAAGGTTCTGATTATTATAATAATGGTAATAATAAATCCCTTTCTTTTAAATAAGCAAATACTTATGTTATGGTTAGCATCAGAAGAACTGAGAAGATCATAGTTGATGGATTTGCTATTGGCTCCTCTCTGCCCTGGAGACCTGCAGCTCTTTTACTGCCTTCTGGTGGGGACCTAAAGGGGCCCAGTAGTAAATGCTGACTTCAAGCTCCAGGCTGGAGGTATTTTGCCACCCACCAGAACGCTCCTCTGTTGCTTTTATAATTTGACAGCTGACTCCCAGCAACCTCTTCCCCAGGTAATAAACCTGACAGCAAATGGAGGCTCMCGTATTTTAGTGTACATCATGTAAAAGGAGAAGACCCTCCAGGAAGGAAGAATCACTTGTACTACCCTCAGAAAATATGCTGATAAACTCACAAAGTCCCGTTATTGCTAAACGCTAATTGCATTTCCTTGGGTAAGCACGATAAAAAATTTATTGCAGTTTTTGGAAACAAGATGCCAATTGCATTTTAATTGCTAAAGAGGAAAGTGTACAGGAGAAGTTTTGCCAGGAAAATGCTAACTGGGCATAAACTCAGAAAGAGATCTCCCCAAGCCAAAAGGCTGAATTCTGAAACAAGAGCTAAGGAAGAGAGATGGGACCTGCAGGGAAGCCAAACCTTCCCTAAGAGAGCACCAACTTAAGTATTATCAGACTCAAAGCTGCAGAGACCCTGGACAGTTGGAGTTTTTCGCTATAGAGCATGATGTAGATTTAACAAATTTAAAGAATTTAAAAATTAGGGGGCTGGGGCTGGGGCTCAGCGGTAGTGCACTTGCCTGGCATGTGTGAGGCACTGGGTTTGATTCTCAGCACCACATATAAATAAAGGTCTATCAATAACTAAAAAATAAAACTAAAAAATTTAAAAAAAATTAGGCACCTGCCAAAATTCTGGAGTAGATGAACAGAAGTCAATACCAAAGCTTCAGAAACCATGTATGAGCCCAGCATAGTGGCACACATCTGTAATATCAGTGACTCAGGAGGCTAAGACAGGAGGTACAAGTTCAAGGCCAGCCTGGACAACTTAGTGAAACCCTGTCTCAAAATTTAAAATAAAAAGGACCGGGAATGTAGCTCCATGGTAAAGTGCCCCTGGATACAACCCAGTACAAAGAGAGAGCGTGGGTGGTAGGGGGAAGGGGAGAAAGAAAGAARGAGAAGGAGAAGGAGGAGGAGGAGGAAGAAGAGGAAGAGGAGGAGGAAAGAAGGAAGTAAAGAAAATATATGAGAGCAAAACTGTATTTCTATCCCATAATTTACAAATCAGGGGGCTGGGGAAAATCCAGACCAAGGGCCAAACATAACTTCAATTTAATAACATAACTCTTTGAACCAGTTCACAGACTGTCATTTTAAAACCATACGCTATTTTCCAATTCCAACCTCCTTGTTTTACAGTGTCTCTGCCCCATGCAGGACCTGCCAGAGCTAGATAAGAACAGGTGAGACAACAGGGGAGGGGGAAGGATCCTGACTCCCATGGGCTTATACTGGGCTATCCAGCTTTGATCTTCTCTTCCCAGGAGCTCCTGAGCTAGGCACTCCTCTAGGGAGGCACTTAGCCCACCTGAGGGCACAGGGAGAAGGCAGGACTAGGAGAACCCCTGAGAATCCTCCCCAGGACAGGGCAAAAGGACAGGCCCCCAGCTGCTTCCAGTAGCTTCTTCTATCTCTCACCGTAACCTCCTCAGCCCCCAGCTCCCCACATCATTCCCAACCCAACTCTAGCCTCTCTCCTATCTTGGAGCTGCTTTGATGAGAAAGAGGGACTAGAAATCCGGGTCTGAGGGGAGAGGCCGGGTGGCCCAGCTGCTGGCCTGTGGGTGGTGATGGTCACGTGTACAGTGGTAGGAGATTCATTCCTGCATCCATTCATGGAGGCTGCTTCTTCTCCAGCTAGTGGACCTGCCAAAGAGCACAGGAGACATGACACCAATGTGCATGAAATTGCAGCAAACAATGGGACTTAGCACAGGGAGTCCTGAACCAAAAGAGGAATAGGCTGGATTCCCAGCATGCTCCACCACACACTAACCAAGTGACTTTTATCTTAGTAAATCACTTGACAATTCAGAACCTTGATTTCCACTTCTATCAGAGGAGACTAAAAATACCTGGGGCTCTAGAAATTTTGGAAGTTTTGAATGAGAGGATGGATCCATACATCCCCTGACACTCTAAAATGTATTATCTATCACCTGCTTCTATGCCTAACCTCAGAGAAAGATGCTTTCCATTATCACACCCTTGCCATTGTACTTAACACAAATACTATGCTTTGAAATACACTATTGAACATGGCCCCCTCACTGAATAGATGAAGCCTAGTGTCACATAAGAGTTTAATTAGGTTAATTAGAAATTCAGCTAAGTCTTGAGTTTCTCCATAGTGTAGGCAATGCAGTCACTTATAACTGATTTAGAGACTAGGGATGAATAACAATAACTTATAACTACATTAATAATACTCTGGATCACTTACCCTAAGCCTAGCACTATACAGGCATTGACAGGTCTCATCCCGCTTAATCATCAGAGTAGCATATAACATAGCCAGGATGGCTATGACCAAGACACTGAGGTTCACCAAGGGTAGGAACTTGCCAAAGGTCACCCAGGAAAGGGCAGACCTAGGTTGCAAACTCAAGTCTATTCTTACCCAGTTAATGCTTAAATTAATAGAAATCCAATGGATTCCATGTTATAAACATCACTACTTCTTCCTTACATTCTGGAGAACATCCCCTAGTCCCCCTCCTTCCCTCAGCAGGGCCAAGGCTTAGGGGTGAGATTCACAGTGTCCAGGGGCAGGTCCTTTAGAAGCCTCACACCCCATCACTGCCCCCACACTCACTTGCACAGTTTCGTGGATCCAGTCCAGGAACTCAGCCACCTTGGCGTAAACACCTGGGTGATTGGGCTCTGCACAACCACGTCCCCAGCTGACCACACCCACAAGGTGCCACTTGCCCCCATCTGGGCAAACTAAGGGCCCTCCGCTGTCCCCCTGAGGTATCCAGGCATGGAGACACAGAGAAACAGACAATCAGACCTTCCTGGTGGAGGAGAACCAGATCCCCATGAAGAATGGGGTCTCCTTCCCAGGCCTTCCTGCTTCCTGCTAGGATACCTGCTGGCCTCCCCCTCCATAATCCCTTAGCATGAGCATTCCTCCTAGATTCTGTCTCATGCTACCAACATAGGCAGACCAGGGACCACCTCCACCACAGGCCACACCTCCCCTCCCTCCACCACAGGCCACACCTCCCCTCCCTCCACCACAGGCCACACCTGGCATGCGTCAGCCCTCCCGTCCAGGTAGCCAGCACACATCATGCGAGGGGTGAGGGCCCCGCTGTATATGCAGGAGCTGTTGCAGAGCTGGGTGCTGAGCAGGGGCACCACTGTATCCTGCAGGGTGTCTGAGCTGTAGGCTGCAGGAGACACCAAGAAAAGCTGCAGGGCACCAAGCAAGGCCAGAAGACAGGGAAAGAGTTAGTAGTCCCAGAGGCATGGAGACTCAAAAAGGGGAGCCAAGGACAGGAGTTGTAGACCACAACAGGGTGCTGGGGTTTAGAAGATTTAAGGTCTGGAAATGAGGAGAGGAGGAGGAGAACTCACACATATACCAAATGCCGAGGCCWTGGCACTCCTGGGACAAGGGGATAGGGGGTAAAAGGTTCTGGGCTTAGGGAAAACATCCGTGCTTGTTCTCCCCAGAAAAGCCCAGCCAGGGAAGACTGGATCCCCCAGGACTGGCCACTGGTGGTGCCAGGGGAAATGAGGGCTGGAACTGCCACGTGGCCAGGGAAAATGGTGTGCCTCCCCTTGGAGAACGATGCCTCACCCCACCCCTTTTGCACTGAGGGCCCTTGGAATTGACTCACTATGGCTGGGGTCGGTGTGGCCCCAGCCAGACACCCAGCACTGCGAGCCACTTGGAAAATGCTGTTCCTCAGCTGGCAAGCACACAGCGCCCACAGTCTCTGTGGAGAGGCACAAGGTCCTGGTCCCGATTCAGGCTCGGCTTCCCTCCAGCAGAGGCTGGGCAAAGATCCTCCTTATCCCCCTTCTCAACAGTCCTGGTGCCTTGCCTCCACCAGGCTTCATGTAGGGCTGTCCAGGCCCGGCACAGTCCCACCCTGGGAGAGACTCTTTTTAAGAAACAATGTGCAAATTGCATTGTGCATGGCGCCCTCTAGAGGTAGGCAATGCACTTGCTTTCTACCTCCACCTGGGGMCTGAGGGAGAATGGAAACACCTTCTGGCCCTGGGTTCAAAATTTCTAGCAAGGACCCAGTTTWGGCTTTTCCCTAGGGTATCTGATCCCTAGGGAAGTATTTCCAAAAGTATATGACACATCCTATAGGTGGAGCCGAACATGATTTTAGATAGAATATAGACGTGCCATTTCATAAACACTCATTTGGGGAGAGAACTATTTCCTTTTCAATTCTCTTTCAGTACCTCTTATTGAATCAAGGAGAAAGACTCTGTCTGGTGCTAGTTTGTACTTCTCTCAATGTTTTCAATCTCCCACTGAACAGAGGAGAGCAGGCCCTGGCCCAACAACCCCTACAGAGGACTCCAGCAACCTAGAACTTACATTATCAGTTAGTTTTCACAGTACATATTTTTATAGTTACTACCTATTTACTATAGTTATATAGGTTCTCCAATCAGGTAGTTTTCTCTTTAAAATATATTTATGTAAGTGAATTTAGAAACATTAACTATTTGAGCAATAGTACACATATGTGATAAGATTTGTGAAATGCGTATAGCAACCACTGTTGTTTGAGAAATCCAAGTGGATAGTGATGGGAAAGAGGAGTGCTGAGTGCATAAGTTTGTGTGTGCACAAGTGAGCGTGAGCATGTGAGTGCACASAAACAGATGGGGTAAGCATGTCTGTGCATGAGAAAGTGTGAATGCACAGGTGTGTCTGTGCATGTAACCCAGTGCACACATGTGTGTTTTTCTGTAAGTGTGTGTTTGTAGCAGAGTGTCCACATGCAGGTGCATGTTCAGGGGAACAGCAGCTGGAACAACTGCAGCCTGGGCTCACCCTTCTATGGCAGGTGCTTTGGCAAGAGGAGTCCTGGCTTTGGAGGCAGAAGTTTGTCACATGACCTTAAAAAAGTCACTTCCTTCCCTGAGCATCAATGTCCTTGTCTGTATATACATTTCATCTACTTGCCAGGTTTGTTACAAAGACTGAGAGAAAGGATATTTGGAGAAGTAAATTTCTTTAACTCCAACATTTCACAAAATGGTTGGGACTTTGGACCAGTCTGGGAACAGGGGTAGAGCAGTCTATTRTTGAATGAGGCAGCTGTGAAACCCTGCTTGGGACATCAAAGCAAATTCAATCAGCATGACCTTCTATGAAGAGGGCCTGAATTTTTGTCCCCAAAAGAGCCTGTTCAAGAATTGGTACAACTTCAGGTCTAAGAGATTRCAAAAGTCACTATGATCCAAAGTGAATGGTGTACTTTTTAGTTTACAGTGCTAGGAGGATACCCTAGAAATCAGCTAGCCTCTCCTGCCACCCAGTCCCTGTTCCTCTCTCACTACATTCCTAGCCTGCTAGGCCCAGGGCCAGGGTCTCTCACCTGAGAAGTTGAGTGGTATCCGAAGACGCAGAAGGGCAACATCATAGTCATGACTTTGAGCACTGTAGAGGGGGTGGGAGATGATTTTCTCCACCATAGCCCCCTGGTGTGGCTTAATGGTGCTATGGCTGACCAGTCCTGCATGAACCCGCCAGCTGGACAGGCGGAACAACCTGAAACTGCACAAAGGGACCATGCTGAGCCCATGGAAGGAAGAGTTAGAGAAAGTAGACATAAGTAAGGTAGTGAGAGGAGGAAGTTGGCCAGAGAGGTCATTAGAGGGGACCACTGTCACAAACCTCCAAGTTCCTGGGACCCAAGGATCATGCCTCTTATTATCACCCTAGCAGCTGACAAGACAGTGAACATGCAGTAGGTGCCTAACAGGTGCTTAATGACTGATAGACATAGAAACAAGATACTACAGGTCATCTGCAACCACCAATCGCTCCCTCTCTCCTGTATAATCACCCTTCAGGCTTAATGTTGGAAGGMCTTATAAGATATGAAAACTCCAACCTAAGTCAAAAAACTTCCCTCAGACCTGTCACACTGTGTGTGACCTGAGGGAGGTTCTTCCCTCCCTAGCAACATTTTCCTCATAAAATTAAGTTTATACTCTCTGACTTGCCTGCCACCAAGAGAAGAGACTCAAAGAACTCATCCATTCATCATTCATTTGTTCATCCCTCCAACTAATATTGATTAAGCATCTATTATATTCCAGGGAATGTTCTAGTCACTGAGGACACAGTAGTGGATAAATCTACAAAGGGATTTTTAGACCAAGAGTCTTTTTAGATTCTTAGACCAATGAGACCAAGAGTCCCTGCTCTCCTGGAGCTTTCAATCTAAAAGGTGGAGAAAGACATTCAATTAGTAATTACATGAAAAAACGATTTAATTACAGTGGTGATAAACATTAAGAAGCAGAGTGCAATGAATGYAAAAGCATCTTAGAAACTTAAAAACTGTGTGAATATAAAGAACCAGTCTTTGACTACTGTTGTTTGTGCAGAGCTGAATTTGACACTGGCAGGGAGAATACCACCCTTGCACACTTAGAATGGACACCTGGAGGCAGCAATTGTACAGGGACACTTTATACAGGACAAACAGAAAAGGTAACTGAGATCCTCAACTCCCCATCAGCCCCCAAGACTTGCCTGTGTATGCAGTGCGCAGCAGTCACCACCCAGTGGGGCGCCAGTACAGAACCCCCACATGTGTGTCGGGAGCCAAGGGTCACACTGGCCTGCCATGGCCAGCGCCCAAGAGCTACAGCATGCCCACCAACTATCCGGGAAGCCAGAGGCCTTGTGCCGCACTCTGCCAACAGAGAAGGGTAAGACAGAAAGAGAAAGCCAAGTGCCTGAGAGCCAGTGTGAACAGCTCATTTATTATTCCTGGTCCTAACAGGAAGATAGGAATGTTAATTASCCATCTGTGGGCTTTCTGAGAGAAGGGATGGTGTTCGTGGGATCTATGGAGCCAATTCCACAGTAGAGGTCAAAGTATGGATGAATGTGTGGAAATCCAGTGGATATGTGGATAGATGGGTGGGAAGAGAGGTGAAAGGACTCAGACTGTTTCCCATTTGGACCCTAATTCACTACCCACCCTTAGTCTCCTGAAACTACTAACAAATTTCTCAGCAGCCAATAACAATTCCACCTTTCAGGTTCTTCAGAAGAAAGGGGCAGTGAATGCCAGAGGCCAAGATAGAGTGGAGTAGTGAGATAGAAACATGATTAGCCAGCACTGTGCCTGTTTGGGGACATAACAGAGAACTAAAGGGGCTTTGTTTGGGCAGACTTCACCTGCGAGAAGGAGCCCAGCATATGGATGAGCACATGGGCAAGGACCACTCAGACCCAACTGAGCCTCTCCACAAGGCTCTTCCATACTCCATACTCAGCAGAGCAGGGAAACTCCTTTCTCTCACCCATTTTCCTAGGTCCAGGACATGACTCACCAGAGCATTTGAGGGAAACAACTTGACCAGAAGAACAGTTGTCCCTGCAAAAAGGCACCAGCAAGAAGTTGGACAGGGCCAACTTGAGGCTACACATGCCCCAGGCATGGAGGTAGGGGGTGGTAAACAGTTCTTAGGGCTGTCATGTAGAAGGCCTGAAGAACACCACCCTTCTCTTCCTGCCTCCACCCAAACACCTCGTAAGCAGTTCTCAGGACAGCAGCACACAGTAGGCCAGGTCTTCCAGAGGGTAACAGAAAGCTTTCAAGGTCCTTAAGGATCCATCTGGTCAGGGCCCAAATTTACAAATGTGGTTATTTATAGATGAGAAAATCCAGCTGTTTCCACTAAACGGCCCTGAATAAACACATATTCAGTGGGTAAATGAGTGGATATTGAGTGGATGAGTGAATAGAGCCTTTTTCCCTGTGCTCCTTTCCAGGTTCACTGTTTTCTGTCCCAGGTCTGCATATTTGTATTTTTGCTCTCCTCTTTCCTGCTTCTCTCTTTGGGGTGGGGTGGGGGGGTGGGGGGGTACCAGGGACTGAACTCAGGGGCACTCAACCACTGAGCCATATCACCAGCCCTATTTTGTATTTTATCTCACTGAGTTGCTTAGGGCCTTGCTAAGTTGCTGAGGCTGGCTTTGAACTCTCGATCCTCCTGTCTCAGCTCCTAAGTGGGATTACAGGTGTGCACCATCACACCCAGCATCTGTCTCTCTTAGGATAAGCCTCAATTCCTTTTTGACCCAATGCTCATCTCTTTCCTTACTCATCTCTTTCCTCCTGCAGCCCAAGGCCTGGTATTCTTAGATTCTAATTTTCCAAACCTACAGCCACCCATCTGCTCTCCTGGAGGAATCAGTCCCATTCCCACATCCACTTGACCATTCAGGAATCTAAGACAAAGACTTGGTCACCTCCAGTATATTCCTGGGGATGACCCCTTGGGAAGGAGCTAGGCAGAAGGGGCCCCAAAGCACAAAGATGAGAAGCAGGGCAAGGATGAGAAGGCTTCAGAGCAGTGAAAGGGAACCCACCCCTCCAGCCCAGGAAATTTCTGGGCAGCTTGAGGAAGCCCAGGCAGGGGCAAAGTCCTCTCAGCTTGTGCCCAATCACACCAACCCACCCTGAGGGTTTAGGGAAGAGCCTGCTCCATTCCCAAGCCTCTTTTCTTGGACATACTTGAGGCCCCAAGCAGCTCTTAACTAGAACCACTTGACTATCTTTCTCCAAAAGATTCCAGAGTTATATAAATATAATGTGGCAGCGTTGAGAGATCACTCAGCTTAGAGAGAGGCCTAGTTTCAAGACTTGGCCTAGCTATTTATCGGTTATGAGACCTTGGACAAGACTTTTTAACCTCACTGAGACTCAGTAAAAGGGGATAAGAGCAACATTCCAAGTCCTGAGATAACAACAACCAGCCCTTCATTTCTTGTGAGAGACAAATAACATATGGCCACTGTGATGAGCAAGGCCCATGTGAACTGGGTTTGTAATTTCTGACTGGGAAACATTCCTCTGCTCTCCTCCTTATACTGCCAATGACCTCACCACCGTTTCCCCTGAAAGAAGATTTTTCTGGACTGCCCACCAGGAAGTAAAGGGCCCCACTCACCTAACCTCAGAAGCCCTACCTGAGCTGCCACACCTCCTTCAGGAGGCCCTCCAGACTAGGAGAGAGCCGAGCAAACTTCTGGAAGCTGTTGAGCATGGTGTCAGACAGGTTGACTCCCTTATGGTGAATGAGTCTTGGCAGAACAGAATGGGAGGAAATGAGCTTTAAACTGCAGTGGGAAAGATACGGGTTAATCACAACTAGAATGTGCACAAGACACTCAACTAGTGTAATGACTAAGACAATGATTTCTTCTGAGAGTTATGTTTGTTAAAAAGCTGTGAGGCTAAAAGAAAACAGAAGAAAAGCAGCAGTACTCAAAGGAGAGAAATAGCTGGGGCACCATCATGCCCAGAAGCTAGAAGATGATCAGAAAGACCACTTGCTATTTGCTGAGTGCTTTGATGGTGACAGGAAAATGGAGGTGTCCAACTCCAGGTAGCCCTCCACCTCCCCAGGCTCCCAATCCTGCTCTTGTTACCTAAGATGCCCAAGGCTCTGGCAGATCCTCATACCCAGGGCAGGGTTCCAGCCCTCATGGCAGACCAGGAGCCAGGCTGGACGGGCTCTCATCTTCACTTCCAGCAAGAAGTCCCCACTATTTATTCTGAAAGACACTGAAACCACAGCATGAAAACAATATCCCAGAGATAGGGCTAGGACAGGAAGAAGAGGACCTGGAACTCTGTGGGACAAGAAGAAGCCTCAGTGGTCATCCAAGTCACCCCATGTCAGGCTCCCTGTTCCCCCATGTGTCAAGCCAATCCTAAAAATAATATAACCCTATTTGTTGAGATTTTTCCATTTTGTGTTTAACTGTGTGCTTTGGAAGGTGCTCCATGCATCACTCATCAAGGCAGCTGTATGCAATGACTATTACCACCCTCCAATTCTGCAAAGGGAAATAAGGCACAGAGGTAAAGCAACTTGTCCAAAATCACAGAATGAGCAAGAGATGGACACAGGACTTAAGTCCAGGTCTTCAGATTTCAAACCTCATGACAATAATAGTTATCATTTATTGAGTGTCTGTTTTTATCAAGCTGTTAAGGACCGAAATGTGCCCCACCCTACCTCCCCACCCCCGATTCCTGTGTTGAAGCCCCAACTCCCAATGTGACTGTAATTGGAGATAGGGCCTTGAGGAATGTAATTAAAATTAAATGAGGTCATCAGGGTGGGTCTGATCTGATGGGGCTGGGGTCCTATTAAGAACAGAAAGAGACAGCAAGCATATGGTTGCTTACTTTCTCTCTGTGTCCTAGCAAATAGAAGAAAGGTCCCCAGAGGACACAGTAAGAAGGCAGCCATCTACTACTAAAAATCAAATTTTTAACACCTTGCATTTGAACTTCTAGCCTCCAGAACTATAAGAAAACTTTTTTTAAATTTTTTATTTTAATTTATTATATATGACAACAGAATGCAATACAATTCGTATTACACATATACAGCACAATTTTTTATATCTCTGGTTGTATACAAAGTATATTCACACCATTCATGTCTTCATACATGTACTTAGGGTAATAATGTCCATCTCATTCCACCTTCTTTTCTCCCCCATGTCCTTTCCCTTCCCTCTCACCCCTTTGCCCTATCTTGAGCAGAACTGTAAGAAAATTAATTGTGGTTTAAGCCACCCAGTCCATGGAACTTTGTTATGGCAACCTAAGAAGACTGCACAGGCTCTGAACTGAGCTCTTTTTATATATTAGCTTGTTCTCCTTGTAGCTTTATGAATATTTTTAGATATAAATATGTGTGTGTGTGTGTGTGTGTGTGTGTGTGTAAGTACTTACCAAGGATTGAACCTAGTTGTGCCTAACCACTGATCACATCCCCAACCTTTTTTTAAATTCTGATTCAGGGTCTGCTAAGTTGCTCAGGGCCTTGCCAAGTTGCTGAGGCTGGCTTTGAACTCACGAGCCTTCTACCTCAGCCTCCCAAACCACTAGAATTATAGGTGTGCACCATACCTGGCCTGCAGTAAATATTTTTATTTCCTTCTTATAGAGAAATGGAAGTTCAAAGAAATAATGTACCCAAGGTCATGCAGTTAGCAGAAGAAACAATTCAACTTTATTCTAACTTTCATGATTTATTCCAACCCTCAGCCCCTGGGTAGCATCATGTTCCTACCTAGAAGGAAAGTGAAGGTGGGGAAGGGGCAGGGAACACTGTGGAGAGAGGTCCCTAGACACCTAGGTAACCATGCTGGTCACACACTGAACTCCTACCTACAAATATCTAGCCCTTCTTCCCCTGGCTCACTCTGCCTCAAATGGTAAGTTCCATCCCTCCTTCCATGCCTGAGATCAGAATACTACTTAGGGAGGTCCAAAAGTCCCAAATCAGAGATTAATGCTGCAAGGGTAGACCTATCACCACCCTCACACTAGAGGAGGGAAAGGCAAATGATAGCAGTGAACTGACAGCCCTTCATTTGGGTCCTCCTGCTCCTGGGAGGGGGGATCCCAGAGATGTAAAGGACCCTGGGCTGAGAGGAAAGGGAATATCTTTTACACTCGTGAGTGTGGCCCACCTGCTTTGGGAATTGAAGGGAGCAGAACTTCCTCATTGCTGGCCCCTGAGCAGTTCAACATCATCTCCTCATCCTGCAAGGTCCCAGAAATGGGCTGAGAGGCATCTGGCCACAGATACAGTACTTTAGAGAAGAACAAAAAGAGGGTCACAGAGAAGAGCTGGGGCAAGGGAAGGAATTTCCAAAAGAGGGGGTTAAGGCATAGGACAAGACACTATTGCTGCAGAGCAGACCTGGACCTGGGGACTCCTTCTCCACCACCTGCCTTTAGGTGCCCCCTACCCAATCTTCAGAGGAGAGGCACAATGCTCTGTCTCTGTCTCTCTGTCTTTCTCTTTGTCTTTCTCTGTCTGTCTCTTTCTTTCTCATGGAAAAGACTTCTAGAAAAAGCCTGATTAGGGCTGCCCTGAATCATCCTCTCAGGTAACTCAGGACACTACTTCTCACAGTAAGACTAAACATTCTTCTCTACATGGAGCCTAAATCCATTCTGTTGCATTCATCCCTTCTCTTCTTACTGTCTATACAGAGCAGTTGAGAAAAGTGCTCATCTCAGCTGCTTGCTTATAATGCCTGCTCAACACTTGCTTCTCCCTTCCACTTTCCCCCAGATCCTGTCTTTGTCCCTTCAAGACCACAGAAGTGACCCAGCACTGACCCAGGAGCCATGAGCCGACACCTGCACCAGCCAGCAGTCCCAGGGCTCCCAGCACCGCACAGCCACGTCGTACAGAGCACCAGCGCCCCACCTTGGAGACTGTGGAGGAGGACAGAGGGCTCTCTGGGTTCTCAGCTCCTGCCAGCCAACCTTACTCCACACACCAAGCTCCAGCAGGAGCCCACCCCAGCTCCCTGAACCTGGAATGGGTAAGTGCAATGCCCTGATCCCTGAAGCCCCAGGTCCCACTCAATTCCCCAATGGGAAACAGAAAGCAAAAGCAAATATGGGGATAAAGAGTGGACACCCTCTCACCATCAATCATATAGGGTTGACCCAAGGAGAAGAAAGGTGATATAAGAGGATTACCCTTCACTGTCATTCCCCAGTCAGGCCTACTGGGCTGTGGCTGGTCTCCCGGCTCTGCTCTGGAGATCGCAGGTACTGGGCCCTCCTCTGCACACTGAACCTCCATAGGTACTTGATCATCCAGCATCAGGCTCTGGGGAAATAGTTGTCAGATCCCAGGATCCCGACATCAAAGTCTGCAGAGAAAAGCCTCAGCCCACTCCAAGTGTACATTCTAATCTTGACCGTGCTCCTGCTGCTGCCTACAAACTTTTATTCCCTTGGGGTCTCCCTATGTGTTCCCTGCAGGACCTCTCGGCACTCCTTGAGGCCTTAACTTCACCCATCTTACTCTCACGCAGCCTGAGTATCAGAGTGAAGACTTGAATTCAGACTTAGTCACTCCAAAGCCCACACTCCTGATTAACCTCTCCCTGGTCTTATCTCCTATGAGCATCAAGGCTGATGGTCCCTCAATATCCCAGTCCAGGCTTCAAGATCCTACCTTCCTTCATTCTTTCTATCTCAGAGGGAAAGAAGTCTCTCCTACATATACCCACCCTTCCCTTCATTCATTCAGAAAATATTATTTAGCCCAAGTGCACGGGTCACTATGGGGGATACTGTAGGGAGTTCAGGATAAGTAAGCATGAACCACTTCACCACTGCCTCAAAATATCTGCAATACTGTCCCAAAGATGTCATAAAAACAAATTGGAATGTGTTAAGTGACCCAAGAAAACTTCAACTAAACTACCACTGACACTGATGAAATCAAGAGGGGCTTCCTAGAAAAAGAGTCCCTCATGGATGAACAGGACTTGAACTATATGGGCATTGGTAGTCCAGGCAAAGAGGACTGAGTATGCCAAGATACACAAGAAAGCATAGTGCAGAATAAGGCATATGTGTGTCTGAGACTCTTGAGCCATGAAGAAGAGAAACAAAACATAAAATCTTAGGGGGAAAAAAACAGACAGCTCAAAGTAAGGTCTATAACCTATTATGTGAACTGGGAAAACACAGGCTATGTCACCAAATAAATGAGATTCAATTTTCTCATTTATAGAATGTAATACTTGCTATTGAGTAATCTCCTTTCTCTACTATCTTATCTCCCTCTGTTATTCTCTATACTACAGAGCCAGAGTAACCTGCAAAATTACTCTAAAAAGCAAAGCAAGCACGGAGACCCCATCTTTAAAGTACCCACTGAATCTCTGCAGCCTTGGGACCAATCCAAACTCCATAGGTCCTTCTATGATCTCACCCTTCCTTATTTCCCCACTAAGTCCCTCCACAGCCCAACTCAGGGACATGCTGATAAACATGCCATTCCCAAGCACCTTGAGGCACTCTCACACCACAGAGACTTTGCACCTGCTGTCCCCTTCCCCAGGAAGCTGACTCCTACTAACCCTTCAGGACTCAACGTAGTAGGGAGTTTTCCTCAACTCCTACCGCACCTATTGTGGCCCTGTATGCTGCTTCTTTCTCTTTCCTTCCTCATTCGGCTATGTATCTCAGGGCCTGTGTATAAGAGGACTTCTTGGTCCCCTTTTGGCACAAAAGGAGAACTTAGATAAAGTACACAGAAGGAAACAAGGAAGAAAGAAAGGAAGGGAAAACAAGAAAATGTGATTGAAATGGCTTTATAAATTATAAAGCACAATGCAAATGTGAACTATATTAATATGAATAAGGAACACATATAAGCTTCAGATCCTTCCTCCAGGAACTTATCAGTAGAGTAGATAAGACCCCTCATAGTGGGAGTGACATATCTGCCCTGCAGATCTGTCTCTGTCAACACACAGTTTGTTTCCATTGGTTGTTTCCACTGTTTCACAGCCTGAAACATGACTCCAAAACATCATTGGCCTAGATGTGATTTTCATGTGTTGAATGAAATGCATTTTTCTCACTAAAACCCTCTTTACTCCTGCCTTTATGGTTCATTGAACTGGCTTTTCTGATCCTTTGACTAGTGTACAGAAGGCCTTTGTCAGACTCACCCAGGACAGCTAACTCCAAATGGTCTGAAAACAATTTCCTGGAACGCACAAGCATCCACACCAGCTCAGCTCACACATGGGCCAGCAGTCCAACACCTTCCTATGAAGTGAGGTACCAGTCCACCTCCCTGTCCCTACACCAATCACAGCCAGGACCTGTAAGACTGGATCTCCCACCAGAATCAGTTGCTTCTCCAGGAGAAACACTGGCCATGGTTTGCACCCTACCACACACACACTCCTTCTGTGCTTAGAGATAACACTCACAGGGCACAGGTAATGAGGTTAAAGGACAGCAGGCTTGGAAAAGGAAGCCAAGAAAGCAAAGAAGGCAATAGTGTGGGCATATGAGGTTTTAGATTCTTCTATGGAGCTTCTTTTGAGCTGATGTCCCTCAGAGCAGAGAGGCAGGGCCTGCTCTAGAAAGAATTTCAGGGCCTGCCCAGCCTTTCCTCCTGTTTCAGTATCCAGGGAGCTAAGCTAGGCTTTAAACCCAATCTATGAACAAACTAGCCTCACCTTAGGTATTGCCCTACCTCGAATTCCACCTACCCAAGCTTATATGGTGGCCTTAAAACATGGTCTTTCATAGTACAGGACCTCTTAGTCCTCTTTGGAAGTGGGAGTTCAATGTAATAATGATTTGCTAAATATCACCTATGTGCAAAGCAATTCACTAGGCCTATGGAAGACAAGAAAAGAGAATAAAATGCAGTTTCTAGGGAGAAAACAGGGGGTTATCCCTAAAAGGCCCTCGTTAGGACTCAGCCCCTGTACCAGAGCTGCCCAAGCAGCCTCTTTTCACCAGCCTAGAGTCCCAAAGGCAGGAAAAAGAAAGAAAAAGACCAGGGCAGGGGATGGCACAGAGACATAGTCTTACCATGTGGGTCACTGGCACTGATATAAGCCTTCAGGGTCTGCTAGGCAGGGTTCTGCTCCTGTCCTTGTGTCAGCATTGATTAAATAGCCCAGCCTGCTTGGTTGGAGGATGAAGTCTCCCTGGTTTACACATGGCCCTTCCCTTTGTCCCCCCTACACACACACACACACACACACACACACACACACACACACACACAGATACGCACCAGAGAGACAATAAGCTCTGCTCAGGACCCATGAATAGATCCCTTGTTGTAGAGAAGGGGGCCAAGGGCTGGGCTAGGCTGGGCAGCCCCAGCCCCTCCCATCTGCTAACTGGAAGCTCAGAAACAGAGAAAAAGGTTATGGGGAGGAGGGGAGGCCAACTACTGTTGCTTAGCAACCAGGTCCCTTGTGCCAAAAAGTGTGCCCCATGCATACTAACACAATTCCCCCTTCCTGCTGACAGGACTGTCCTGCTGAGAGCGATTGATATTAGCATTCGTTGAAATGTTTCTGAGCCCTCTGGATTACATCTCGCTTCTGTGTGGTTTGGTTTTTCTAGCAATCTGGGGATGTTGCCTTACTTCAGTGCCATTGACCCACATGTGCTATCTCTGCTCCAACCTCTCTCCCCTCCTCTCTTGGCTGGTGGAAAGTGCCTCCTCTAGCAGCTCTGTTGCGGGGGCTGAACTAGCAGGGCCCCTAGCAGGGCCCCCAGCAGGGCCCTGTGTGGACAACCTCCTGTTGTCTCCCCTAGGAACTTCCTCTTAACTCTCTTCTCTTGTAACACCTAGGTTGGAGTTATTTCGATGAAGATGAGGGATCTTTCTCCTCAGGGCTATACCTCTTACCTTAACACTAGGAAGAGGAGCCTCTCCACCCTATCTGCCCTAGGAGCCAGTCATTATAAGAATCCTCAGTGCTACCTTGTTTCAAAATATAAAATATCCCAGCTGAGCCCAGGCTGGTACCTGGAAACCACATCCCTTTAGACAAGGAAGTGGGACAGTCCCAGGGAAGGGAAAGGCTGATGTGGCTTCCTCTCCTCCAATCTTCCTCTCATAGAGCCCTCATATGGAATGGCTAAGAATATGGGCTTCTGAGTCAAGCTTTCATTGTTTCATCTCCCATTTCCCTTAATTACCTCACCTATAAAATTAGGGTAATAGTACCTAACAACATTGATAGAATTATATAAGATATTGAATATTGAATATAACTCTCTTATCTTGGTGTCTAGTATTATTATTATCACTGTTGAAACTCATCCACACAAGCTTTATTTTCCCTTTTTGCTCTCTCTGTTCCCCATACACTTAGTATGTCCTCTGAGCTTATGGCCAGCACACAGAGCTCTTTGCACACAATACAACAAGAGAGGGAGGTCAGCTCTGAACTATAGATGTAGGAGAGGAATGGTGGCCATTGCTGAAAATCCCCTGGTTAGGTTCTGAGGTCACCTAGGGCAATGCTCTTCAGTCTACAAACTGTGTCAGGAAGGAGCCTGGCATGAGGGATGAATAGTCCCAGGCGTGGAGCTAGCATGCTAAAAGGAGAGACAGGAACAGATATAAATAACTGCTATTTGTGAAAAGTGAAATTACCGAGGCCTGAACACAGAGGTATAGGAGAATAGAGGAATAGCTGAATCTTCTGCCCAGAGGGCTTCACAATGGAGGAGACATTTGAACAGAGTTTTGAGAAATGAGAAAACAATCACAGAAAAGGGCATTTCAAACATATCTCAGATGATGTCAATGAAAATGACAGAGTAAAGACCTCTGAAAATTCTTTCCTCCATTAAAGCAGTTAAAAAAACTAGCAAAGAAATTGTCAGAATCAATTTTTTCAAGACTCCGGAAACTAACCAAAAGCTTACAGCAATATGGGAAGTGTTTATTAAAAAAAAAAAAAGGCAACATAATCTTGGTAAGAACAGTCAGCTTTGTGCATTTTAATTTATTCTAATTCCATCACCCTCACTTCAATTCTGCATTAGCCTTGAAAACCAACATCCCATAATTACGATAGAAAATAGCAATCTGGTAGCCACAAAAATGGGTAGAAAAGGCTTAGATATCCTTCAAAACCTCATTCCAGAGAGTTCTCACAATTTGACCTATCTAGTGGTTCCCTGGAAGATCCCATTTGCAAGACTGTCTTTATTTAAGCTGACTTGGTGTTTGCCCTACTTGAAAAGCTGTTTTACCTAAGGGCACCTGTTGAAAACAATTGGCGACAACTATTGGATTTAATAGCTGACATAGGA